CAATGTTGTTTTAGTACCTTTTATTTTGTAGAACTGTTTTAAAGGCTTTGGTGGTATCTATTTTTGCTTCTTTCCTTCAATCCAAGCAAATATTACAGTTGGATTGAGGAAAGTCTAATAAAGAAATCTGATAGATAAAAATTAATAAGCAAATTATTAGTTACTATTAAATATAAGAAACTTTGTCTTATATTTGCATGAATTTGTATTTTTTATTTATTATACTTACTAAAGATTCAATTATAAATTGAAGCTAGTGATGATTTTTTCGGGGGGGAAATCAAACTGGCAGAAGTATCAAGAATATTAAAACAAATTTCATATTATTCAATTGCATATTTCTAAAGAGCCCATCTTATATGTAAAAATTGTGGATAAAGAGGAAATAACTGGTAAAAATAAAATGTAAAAACAAAGTAAATAATGTTTTAATGCACTGTAGCTACAAAAAATAAGGGAAGAGCTAGGTAAGACAGCAGCCATTAAAATCTGTATTTGTGAAAAATATGTGGTGGTATAGAAAAACACTGAAGATATAACAACTTTTAAATTGTGTATAAATTGGATAAAAATGTTCTAGAAGGAAATAAAACACCAAAAAAGGTGGTTTATTGGTGTTCTGCTTCTTTATGCTTTTAGGTACTTGTTACATTTATTTTGCAATGTTATATGTTACATTATCAGAAATGAATTTAAAATCTAATTCCTGTCAAGTATAGTTCTTATTTTAATATTTTACAACAATTCATGAGTTAAGCAAGGCAGGGAGAATAATTTTCCATTTTATAGTTGAGAAAACTTTGTAAATTCCTAATTGGAGCAGCTTGAAATAAAACCAGATCCTCCAAAGCCAGCTTCAATGCTTCAGCTATAATCATACTAGAATGACACAGGAGATAATACGTGTGAACATTCTATGAGTTTTTCATGATAAAGTGCAACAATTGTAATCTAAGATATTATTAATAATGTTATTTATTTTATCTTCTTTATATATTCCTAAACTCTAATTGAGTTAAAAATAAATGTATGAGATCAGACAAGGGTTAATAAAAAAGGAATATAAAATTAAGTTAAATAGATCAGAAATAAAAACTAATAATTACATCTATGGTTGATTTGTTACTATAACAAGTATTAAAAGAAAATCTAAAACTCTTTAGCTTTACTTTAGGAATACACATAACATGGTAAAAATGAAAGAAGTCATATTAAGAATTTTAGCAATAACTAAATATAAACGAGTCCATAAGATAAGATGTGAAGAATAAAAATGTTAAATAGACTTGAAAATAACTAGTAGGTTTCTAATAAAAAAAATCTATCTTAATCAATGAGAAATTAAAGTGGAAACAAATTATCCTTATAATTATTAATTGAGGTTTATTTACAGGGCATCATTAAGAGACCAAAGCAATCAATAAGTTTTAAGACAGGCTGTTTTCTAGAAGTCCACATCACTCCAAAAGTAGACATAGTTATTCCTGTACATCCATACTCGGCTACTTATGCTGGCCTCCTTCCCTCATCCAGCATGCACATGGCCAGTGCCAGACAGTGAGCCACTTTAGAGCATACATTGCCTTATCTATCTTTATATGTGCAGTACCCAGCACAGTGCCCAACAGTGTGTATGAATGTGTATTTGCATGTGGAATCAAACTTATTTCAATAGCCTAAACCAAAGCACCTCAAATTTGTATGTGTCAGAAAAAATGCATAACACATCGCCATGTTAGTTAAGTGATTTGGAAGATTATCTATATTTTCAGATAACTACTGCTAATTGCCTATTCCATTAGGTAACATATATGAATATTCATACAGGGCTAATGTGTTTGATGAGTTTCAAACTCAAGCCATTTCCTATGCAGTAGCCTCAAGTTGAAGATCAAATATTTAAAATATTACATCCAGAAAAAGTTAATTATATGAAGTTTATTGGTTCCAAGAAATATATTTTTCCCACCTTTGTTTGAAACACAGATACCAAGAAATATTTCTCTAAATACAAGAATGATGACAAATGACAACTCACCCTAAGTCTCAGAGTAAGGGACAAAACTACAAGGAGCTGTGGGGACTGGAATAAACTTTCGTGCCACTTCTATCTGGGCAGTTTTTACTCTACTCCACCTGATGGTGCCAAGTAGGAGTGCCCTGCCATTGTAGCAAGATCTTCTGACTTTCCCATAGCTGGAAATCCAGATTTTTATTTAAAATGTCTCATTTTTAAATGTTGGTAATTATTGAAAATGTAAACCATTATGCAGGCAGAGTGAAACACTCCTACAGAGCACACTTGGCACACAAACTACTAGTTAATGACCTTTCGTTTAACAATTTGATTACTCTATTGTTACACACATAATTGAGATACTCCTGAAATGTCATATAATTTGGCCACTAAAATGTCAAGGAAACTTTACTGAATAAAGAAAACTATATATTCAGGATTATGTATATTGTTATTACATATTCACAATTTCAAAAACACCCAGTATTTCACAAACTCAATTCATTATGAAAATGAAAATACCAAAGCCCAGAGGTCGACAATAGAATAATTGAGCTATGATGATGCCACTGTACTCTACATGGGGCAACAGACTGAGACTCTGTTTCCGAAAAAAAAAAAAAAAAAAGAATAACCATTATAAGCTTTACTTTAAATGTTTAAATGTGGTATAACTGAGTTTAGGTCATAAGTTCAAGTTGGTTCTCAATTTATGCAGATGCATGATTGTATTTCTAAATGATGACTAGCCAATTACAGTGACTACAAAGTTCTGTCATAACTGACATTTTAAATGAAGCTTTGCACTAAGAAAACTAACATTTCAACTTCATTTTAATCACTTCAGCTTTTCAGAATTCTGTTAATCAAGTAGGAAAAAATTTGTCTTCGACACCTAGAATGATTTATCTGTTTGTACAAATGTGAGAAAAATGATCAGGTCTTCAAGTAATAGATTACAAGTAGGAAGAAAGTTCACATTACAGCTATGCTGATGAAAATTACCTGCTGGCTGTTACAACAGAGCCTGTGAATTAATTAACCTTTTGCCATAAAAATCTAGAAACTTCAGCAAAGACTGAGCCTTCTCTGTTTCTCTTGCTCCATCTTCCTCAGCATTTTAGAAAATGAAATGATGTGCAGTTACTGAAGCAAACCAAATATACTGAGATTTTATCAGTTTTCATGTTACTACAATAAAGCCAAAACTTGTCATCAAAATATAGCAAGTTAGATGATTCATCTTTGGTTTTAGTTAATAAAAGATGAGTAATAATGATTGATTTCTATACAGATCTTCATTTTATGAATGAGATCAGTAGTTTCTTACTATGAATGTTGGCTACCTATTAATTATTTACCTTTGACTGTGAGCAAATAAAGTTAAAGCATGTGTTTTTTTAATAAATGCAAACATACATTCCTATAAACATCATTTTCAAAGGAATAAACACACTATCTGTATTTAAGTGTATTGATCAAGCATTTCGATCGTTTTCACTTGGTATCTAAAGTTTAAAAATCAGCTAACACTAAATATAATGAGAATTTGTGAAAATAGCATTTCTAATAATTGATGGTAATATAAGCCACTGTATTTCCTCAGGTTGTTAAGGCAAAAATCAATCACACTTGGTGAATTTGAAAATTATACAAGATTTAAGGACTACTAAGTCACACTTCAAATGTTGACATGATAATTTACATGACTTTATGCAAATGTTAGGAGCCACATTTCATTTTTCTCTTTGATGTAGTATTCATAGATCTCCTTAGGAGGTTAACAGATCCCAATATTTAATTGTCTAATAACAAATAATTGTAGCTGTTCTCTTCTACTGGCCAATTTTTAGAGTTTAATTTTAATCTATTCATTATATAATTATGCAGTTGACCATATATAAGTCATCCCTCAGTAGGTTACCAGGCATTCTTATCTAGATAATGGATTATATATTATAGTAGGTCCTCACTTAATGTCATTGATAGGTTCTTAGAAACTGTAACTTTAAGTAAAATGAAGTAAAAAAAAATTTTTTTTCTCATTAATGTTACAATGAAACAACATTGAACTAAACAACATTATTAGAGGACCTGTTGTCAGTCACTTCTCTTAGAGTAACAGTTTCCAACCACCTATAGACAACATTAAGTGAGGACTTATTGTGCATTGTTTTAGAGTGTTAGGGTATTCCTCTATTGTCCCAACAGAATGACAATTTGCCAAACTCATCTTTAAGGAGCTAAACTAGTGATCACCTCCCAAAATATTTTTCAGAAAATTGATTTTTAGCTGCAGGTAAGAAGTCCACAGTAATGTGTTAAAGCAGTAAAGTGACACTTTTGTGTTAATAAAGTGCATAATATTTATCTAGACAATTAAAAATGCATAGGATATTTCCTTTTTGTATTAAGAGTAAGCCCATATTTTACTGATAAATATTTCAAATTAAGTATTAGTTGAAGCAATTTGGAACAAACAAATCCTTCATAATTACTAATACATTAAAATTTTCCAAATGGATCTATTGAATCTATAAGGAAGATAGCTCTTGAAAGGTGGTAAATTTAGAATATTTAGAAATTTAGAAATCCAAAACATTTTTGGATTTCAATTTTGAGAACACTTCTTTTATAAAGCACATATTTTTAAGTAAGATATATATTTACTTGAAGTGTCAAGGCTAGCACATTTCTGTCACTTTAGAAAATTCATAAGAAAAATATCTTGAATTTAAGAATACATAATGCTTTAAAAGATTTTTGGTAATTCTGCCAGTACTTATGTTTGCTTATGCTAATTTAAACTAGATTTTATATTGCCATTGATTCTTATATAATCATATAAAAGGTCATAATGTATGTATTTGTATCTGAATAGTAAGTATATAACTTTAATAAAAAACAAGAACACAAATGTATAATATTCCTTAATTATTATGGGAATATGCACACAATACTTTGGAAGAAATGATCTACATACCTGACAGGTAATGTTCTGTCTCCTTTCCTCCTATCCATTTCTCTTTGGGGAACAGGATACCAACGGAAATTCAGTTTCCAGTTAAAACCTCCATAAGTCATGTCTGACCCAGCCATATATTCAAAGGTATCATCACTAATCACATCGATGATAGGGCATACAACTGTTTTCCTGAAGAAAAATTAAAACCAATGTACATATACATGATAATTTAAATATTACATTATCTTCTTCAAACTGATTATAGCTGATATGATGAAATTTAATTATTTTGTGACTTCAATATGCCTTTAGTTTCATTTTATCCCTCTTCTCTGTGGATTTATTTCCTTTGACTATATCTTCCTGCTTTACACTATCATGTGAAATCTAATCAAATATACTAATGGACCTTCAAGCTGATTTCCAAATGCATTCTAAGTATACAAACTCAGCAGGATGAGCATGGTCTATTTTTCGTAAAACCTCCACCCACAGCATGATTAGTAGAGCTGCTTTGAGATTGTGCATCATTTTAGCTATAAACCCACTGAAAAGCAATAGCATTCAGGGAGTGAAGAATGGATGATGGCAAATTAGATCTGGTAGTTTGCGTTTTAAATAGAGTAGGTTATTTTAAAGAAATAATTCCGAGAAAATCTTCACGGAGAAAACACCTACTAGGAAAAAAAAAATCAATGAATGACAGCAACAATAAAAATCATGATCTATCAGTATAAGCAAATGCTTTCTATGAAGCATAGTAGGGTCATGACAATTTCTGAGTGAATTGTCTTAGGAGTAAGAGTTTACAGTCACAATCTAGATGATATTTTAAAATAGAGAAAGATAAGTAACTTCAGTCTCTGGTGTTGTTTTATTCCATTTTTCTTAAAGTAAGAGGAAGATCCAGGAGGTTTGTGGTGTTCTTCATGGTAGTTTTCTAGGGTAAGAAAATTTCACTTGAGCAAATCATTAGGTATTCTCATAATCCTTGTTGTGCTTTCTCCTGTTCTTCCCTTTACTCCCAGCTTGTGTATTTTATCAAGGAACCAACCTTCTGTCATATCCATAAGTAAATGTTCAGGTCTACCGAAGATTGAAATGGTTCTAGCTAATTCTGAAGACCAGAGCTTGTTTTTCATATGCAAGATAATTATACAAGTAGGCTTTGAATCATCCATAGATGTGGAAGGCAAAGAAATATTGTTCATTATTTATTCTTGGTTTGCAACACCAGTATTTCCAATGTTCATTTTCAATTGAGTCTTATATTCCACACAACTGGCCAAAGCCTGAAGTTCTCTGAAATCAGTAAGATTCATCTAGTCTTGGAAAAGCTTCTTGGTGACTCTAGACCCAAGAAAATCAATATTTTTCTCTCTTTGCAGGATTTAATGATTTAACTTACGGGGAGAAGAAATTAGGCCTAATAACCTTGAAAAGACTTTGTTATCTAGTTATGGAAACTTAGAATTTACAATAAGGAAAATAGATAAGGGTTTATTATATGTAAATAGAATGTAATTATGTTGTTAGATCATAAATGATCTATGCATGACTATATCGAAACACTATATGAAAAATCTCATTACGCTGAATATGAAATGTGTGTAAAAAGCAGCAATAATGCATGAAAAGTTGCTAGGAAATGCATTTAAGATGTTCTAAGTTTATTTTATTAATACTTTGCCAGTCTTCCTCTCCCGTGGGTACTGTACAATACACAGAGTGGAAAAATGTTATTAGCCATGTGCTACACTCAGTTGACTAAAAGGTTCCTACTGATTTCTTCAACTGCTGTGGTTCATTTTACTGACAGCCTCTATCCATCTTCCTGGCAAGTACCAAATCCTGTCGTTCCAGTGATGTGGCTGATCGAGCTCAGACTAAGCAGCTCCTGTCTTGAATATCTAATGAAAAACTTCAACTCTAGAAAGACTTTTCTACTGTAGATGAAATGACTGTGCAACCAAGGTGTTATATAATGCCTTATTATTATATGTGATAGCATTTTATGTTAGTTATCTTCATTAGGTGCTTAGGAATTATACTCGTTTATCACCAATGTGTGTGAATATTTGCCAGAAAGAAGCTTGTACTTCATTCACAGCATCATCATCAGAAATAACTGTAGGCATGTATAACTGTTCTTAATTTCTGTAAAATGTTATTCAGTTTTTCAGATTTCACAATTTGTATGTATAAAATGGCAATATTGTTTAAATCATCAAACTTATAATTGTGTTCTCTTGTGGTTCTTGTTTTTTTAAATCCTGATTGCATTTCAGTGGTGTGTGTGTGTGTGTGTGCGCGTGTGGGTGTGTATTTTTAAGATCTTCAGTGTGAATTTGAACTAGACTGACTTAGGGCACTGAGGCAGCACCGAGAACACTGCAGGGCGTAGTGGGAAGAAGTGAACTGTTCCCAGCACTTCCAACTACTGGGGCAAACTATGTAACTTCTTTGCTCCTTCCTATTATTAGGTACAGATAACATCTACATTACCTGTCTCACAGGGTGGCTATGAGGACACAAACAGGTTCTTTGAAAATATGTGTTATATTGTACTATTTCAGACAGAATTGATTTCCTTCACCTAAAAAAAATCAATATTCAACACACTTTTTATTTTTTGAATTATTTGACTATTTCCTAATCAAATATCCACATACAGCATGAATAAGCCAGTCTTAGTTATTAAATAAGAAGGGGAACTGCTTTTTTAAAAAGCTGTAAAATAAACCTTCTGAAAATAGCAACTTAGAAGAGAAATTCTGATGGACATCTGGAACCGTCCTAACAGATTCAATCATAACCCATGCAGACATAACACGTGAATTCTTACCTGTCTTCCTTTATTCTTGCCAGCAAGGGCTCCAGCCACCCCAACGTGCATTCACAGTGTGCATCAAGAAAAGTTATGACCTGCCCTTGTGAAGCAGCTGCTCCTCGAAGGCGGGCACGTATTAACCCAGAGCGCTCTTCCATCCTAATAATTTTTACTGGCACTTCTAAATTTTTCACATAATTTTCTAATGTCAACTTGAGAAAATCTGTAACATGCAATAAGAATTTATAAGAAAAATTTGAAACTGTTTAAAGACATAGTAGAGATACTGCTGAGATGTATATTCAGTACACAGAAATGGTGGCCAGATCCCATCAATTTTTTTTTATTAGATGAAATAAAATAATAGAGATTTCATCAGTCAATTAATATCACAGATCCACAAAGTCATATAAATGCTCAACAATGTGATCAATTGGTTTGGGAAAAAAAAAAAACATCTTTGAAAGTCGCTTTGAGGTATATTGAGGAAAATTTGATAGGTAGTTGCAGGATTAGTAAAATTACGAAGCAAATATGGAGCATTGCCTATTTATTTTTTTTTTACTAAAATAAAGTTTTCTAATCAAAAAATACAAGAAAAATAGATTATACCTCTTTCACTGGCATCATCTACCAAGATGACCTCAGAGAGTAGATAGTGTGGGGAACGATTTATCACACTGTATACTGTTCTAAGGAGAGTGCTCCAGGCTTCATTATGAAACACAATGACTACACTTGTGTTTGGAAGTTCATCAGGGTAGACTTTTGTCTTGCATCTGGAAAAGAAGAAAGAAGAGGGATGTTAATACATTCATTTCTCATCCTGATCATTATAATAAGAAATATCAATAATAACATAACTTCAGAAGTGCAAGCTTCTTACTAAGGAAATGTTTTATGAATATCTAAAATCATTTTCCTTTTTATAAGTGCTATGAGTAATCACTTGGCATTTTGAAAATTAAATATGCATAATTACTAATATTTTATTTTAACTCCTGGAGGGAACAAAGCAGCATGATTTCCACAGGTCTAAGAAAAATCAAAGTAAGCTAAAATAACATTCTGAGGCAGATTGTCAATAAAAGACCAGGTACAACAGGGAGAGATGAATTCATTTAGTGAATATAATTTTATTCTTTGTTTAGAAAAAGATAATTATTGTATAACTCAAAAAGTCATAAGAACATAAATAGACATGGGTCCACAGGGCTTTGAAGCATGTAAAACCGAGATTATTTTTCTGTTCTTAAATCTAGTCATGTATGCTTTCTATTCCATTTGAGAATGCTATAAACCATGTCTACTTTCAAGAAAACATTTAAGTTTCCTTTAAATTCAGAATCTATTATATGCATCTTCCCCTTAAGATCTCCTTAATTCCTAGAGATCAGGAAAGGGAATGGGCTCTCAGCACTTCTCAAACATTAATGTGCATAGGTGGCAGTCACCTAGGGATAAAACAAGCACCACATGTACTCACCATCACATTGGTATTAACTGATCAACACTTATGTGCACATACAGCAGTAACATTCATTGGGTGTCAGGCATGTGGGAAGGGGGAGGAAATGGGTATATTCACACCTAATGTGTGTGGTGCACACCGTCTGGGGGATGGCCACGCTTGAAGCTCTGACTCGAGTGGGGCAAAGGCAATATATGTAACCTGAACATTTGTAACCACGTAATATGCTGAAATAATTTAAAAAAGCAGATTCTACTTCATTAGGTCTGGGGTGGACCCTGAGATTCTGCATTTCTAAAAAGCCCCCAGATGATTCAGATGCTGCTGGTCCCTGGGACACACTGATTAGTAAGTGGCTGCACAGTAATTGTCATTACTTTTAATACTTAATGTTTTGAGAAAAGCTTTTAACTTTGCTTATAAATACAAACAAGTCAAGATTTTTCTTTTCAAGCAATCAATCCAAAAAGGTACGCTTGTATAAATAATATGCGCAGAGCTCTCTGTGGTCATACCAAATTTAACATACAGTTATTCGTTGCTCCTGTCAACTTGTCAACATTCAGACATTTCTGTCATGTAATTTTAAATCATTGTGATTATAGATTATAAAAAAAAATGTCATGGGGTATCTGGAGCTGTAATAGCAGTTTAGTCTCCTTAGGTTATTTTTTCATGTAAAATATTCTGAAGAGCTAGAGAATTAAAATTTTTCCATATAATAAAATAAACCAGATGATACTTCCTGCCACTTACGAATGGCCTAATGCATGACACAATACAGCATTGTTAAAATTAGTTTCCTTCAGAAGTGAGTGAAAAAAATATAATAAAATGTGGAAGACAAAGACAAATGACAACAACAAAAAAAATACTGATTGTGTGTCTATTGAGGTCTTCAGTATCTTTAAAAATAGTCTAAAATATCACCACCTAGTCAGTGAAGTCTTGTGTAATATAGCCAGGTAAAAATGTACATATACTTCAAGTATAACTTTGTTCCAGGATATATTATTTGAAAACAAATTCATTAAACATCAACAATACAAAAGATATTGTGCGTATAAGAAAATCAAAATGTAGAGGGTGGGAAAAGTAGTTGGATTCATAGTCATCGCTTCTCATTCAGGGGGCTGGATTCAAATGATTTCTATGTGCTTCATCACTGTAGAACTTTCACCAACACGTAGCTCATCACCAAATGAACTTAGAAAGCCAGCTTGGTAAACGAGAAAGGTTCTCTCCACCATTTTTCTCAAACCTTTATTCTTTTGCCTTATAAAAAGACCCCACCACTTTCAGTATGCAAAGCAAAAATTATGGTAATGATAATTATTGTCATCAAAGAAGTAAAGCTGGAAAAACTGACTGAAAACAATCCAACAGCCAACAGCCAGTGGCCACTGATTTAACCCAAGGATTACAGTCAATAAATGCTGCTCAGCATCATTTAGAAAAAGGAGATTTTGTTTAAATCAAAAATTTTTCTATGTTATGCTAAATGTCAACAATTAAATAAAGTATTTAAAAATCAAACTAAAAGTAGATATTTAGATTCCAGTATCTTTCTATCAAGCTTTATTTTTGTGATTAAAAAATCCACTCACAAATGTTAATTTTACATTCATTATATGTGTCAGAGTTATAATGAATTAATTTACTATTAATGCACCTAGTATGTTTACTTAGATAAAATTTCCACTATTTCATTATTTAATGTAGTATAAAAATGAATGTGACTAATATTTTTATTAATTCTTCGTCTTCTTTCCATGTAAATAGTCATCCATCAAAGAGTACAAAGGTTCAGTTATGTGGATGAGTAAGTTTGGGAGATCTGATAATGTATGGTATGGTGACTAGAGTTAATAATACTATAATGTATACTGTACTCAAAATGTAATAAGAGAGTGATAGTAAGTCTTCTCATCACAATCAAAAAAAAATTTAAGATGCGAAATGATGGATATGTTAATTAACTTGAATGTGGTAATCATTTAACAATGTTTATATATATCAAAATATCAAGTCACAGATCTTAAATACATATAAATTTTATTTGTTAAGTATACCTCAATACAGCTGGGAAAAAAGTCATTTAGCAGAGAAGACTTTGTATACAATAAAATAATATACAGGGTTATTTTTAATCTATACAAATTAATCATTTCATTATGTATGTCAGTTTATCCAGTTATCTTAAATGCACAGATTTGTATAAACAAGAATTATGCTTGTCATGATTTCTGATGAGTCTGTGACACACTGAGCTGGTGTTGTTTGTATTTCATCAAAGCTATTGTTTCACTTATGGTAAGATAAACCACACTTTTATTTACCAGGAAGAAGGAAAAAAAATGTTGTAAAATAAACTATAACACAATGCTTTCTTATCATTAGAATCTATTTAATACTTTAATAGAACTTATAGAAAAAGTTTTAAAATGTTTTGGACATAAATCTCTATCAATATTGTCATGTTTGATTTATGAATCAGTCACACCAGTTTCTTGTTGCTTTGAAGTTTCTTTTACCTATTCTAAGGGGTTTCTCCAGCATTAAGTAGTATTGCCTAGTTTATGAGAGGCAAAGATTTAGCATATACCTTGGTAACAAAATATAAAACAGTTTCATTTTCTTTTGAATATCTTCCTTGGTGCTATGAATTTGTGCCTTTCAAACTTTGATGTGCAAATGAATTATGTGGGGATCTTTTTAACATGCAGATTCTGATTCAGTAGATCTGGTATGAGCCCAAGATTCTGCATTTATAATAAGATCCCTGGTGTTGACCACACTCCCAGTCCATGGTTGACGTGATAAGAAGCAAGGCCATATAAATCAGTCAGCTGTTGATTAGCAAGAAAATATAGAACTATAATCATTGCTCCAATAATAAATATTTGCTCAATTATATGAAATTTAATTCTTGCTGCTGTTTCCTTTTCTTTTTAGACAATAACTTTGTGTTCTAATACTGAATCATATGTAATGTTTTTGAAGAAATGGTGAATGCCAGGTAAACTCAATGAACGTAGTATAAAGAGTACACATAACTTAATTGAAGCAATGACAGTAGACCAGGTATGCCCATGTTCAGACAAGCTTAAGAAATATTGCCTCCGTAACAACTGCCAGCTCGTAGACAATGATTGTAATGAACCATTGACTGTAAAACACATCCCGATTTTAGACATGCAAAATGAAAAAGTGAACATCTTAGAACAAGTGAATACAATAATTTTTGTTGTTGTTTAGGCAAGAAAAAAATACTTAAAATGTTGAGTGTTTTAAAAAATGCCTTAGGTTCCAACCTGGCAGAGTTTTTAACTCACTGATTTTTCCAGAAATAATTCAAAACAAACAAACAATAAAACAAAACAAGAAGCCTATTCTATGGATGTGGGGGTAAATGCTTACGATAAATAGATGGGATTTGGCTAATAATATATTCTCCCTGATACATAACAAACAACTTGTTCTTTGTGATATTAAAAGAATAATTTTACCACCTTTCAGCTCAGTTTACATATCTTTTACATAATAAGATTAAAGTGGGTAATTGCAAAGGTCTTATCTGAAATGTGTAGTAGACATTGCTTGGTTAGCATTGTAGAGTAAAGTTCAGAATCTCTAAATGGTAGAGTTGGAAAGGACTCTCAAAGTTGGCTAATTCTAACCTTCATTTCACAAGGTGCAAGTCTCAAGTCACACAGCTATTTCAATACTCCGCATAATAAAGTAATAAATAATAAGAAAGTAATAATTTATTTAATAACAGTAATGATTTCTGCCCCAAATTATTTTATAGGCTATATCAAAAGTTAAATGATATTGTTTAGAAAAAGATGATAAAAATCAGAAAAATTAGAAAAAAAAATTAAATTCCTTTAAACTATGTCTTAAGAAACTTTCCAATATATATCTTTATATCGGATAGGAAAATAGCCATTTTCTTAGGATCATTTCATTAAAACTAAGCAAAGAATATCAGCTTTCATTGAAATTACATACATACAGACCAAATACTCTTTCAGCAGCAAGCCCTATGAAGACTTTATTTGTGTTCCTTTATGTAAACATCTAAATGAAATTGGCAGAAATTGACATTATTGTGGAGCACAATGTATATGTAATTAACTTTGATATTAAATGTGGAAGACTGCAATTGAAATTTTCATCAATCTGGAAAAAAAATATTGGATGTCCACTAGTCAAATCAAGTGCCTGAAATCTGGTATTCCAGCGAAAACATAAGCTTTATCATGGCAACATTTCGTATAAACACCACATTTTGACATGCTGAAT